TCTAGCGTTCTAAGTCCGCAGACATACCGCTGTGCCACTGGGGGGCGGTTGATGCAAGAGCTGCTTTATTAGGACTAATGTGTTATTTTGGGCGCAACCTATAGTTCAGTGTTTATATATTTTAATTCTGTAGTCAGCATTTCCAGCCTTTATGTGATTCAGTTGTAAACGACTATCTAATCTTGGTAGTAATTCTGGTTCGAAAATCTTGCAAGCGCCGAACGGGCTTGGAAGACAACCAGGGGCGCTCAGAAACTGTTTTTTCTTTTCGCCCCTGGTTGTCAACGACAAGCATGACCAGAAACAAGTTTAGATTACCTTCGTGTTATACACACAATGACCTATTACTTTGGCATACTCAAAAGTCCCACATTTAATCTAAGAATAATCTCGTGTGTGTATATTGATGCCGTCTTTTACACGTGGAGTTGAAAATAAATATATTTAGGACTTGACCGGTTCTGATGCTATTGGTGAAAGCAGTAGTCCCTGTATGGTAATGTTTGGCCTGTGTAGAACGTCAGTCTTATGTTTCGTCAATCTCTTTCTTTCTTTTTTTTTTTTTCAAGTACAACAAACCATACGTCAAGCAGTATGACAATAAGGCGTTAAAACAACTTCAATACAGTGCCTGGGAAACCGAATACTTTACGGAAACTATCGAATTAACACTTTTCAGTTTGGAGAGTGTTAGACATTCACACCTACCACCGTAACATCTGTGCAGACATGACTCCCTGTAGACAGAACAGTATTCTCTTACCTCTAGGTTCGCTGCTAGCACCGGAAATTGGACTCTTTTAGTTGTTGCCGTACTTCGTCACTTGATGAGTAAACCTGGTGCCACTTCTTTCTATCGTTTTGAACCTTTTACCAAGCAACTAAGTGTCATTCACTTGGAGTATGGGTGTTTAGAAGTAATGTTAGACATTATGTAGGCAAAGAGTAATAACGATCTACAACAAGCTTCAGATCAAATACATATCTGAATAGGTTACTCCTGCAGTAATTCGAGGAACCAGAAAAAGAGTAAACGGAAATAAAGGGCTCATGTTTAAAGCTACTCAGTTGATTAACCAAATGTAAGGAAGTAAAATATCATCTAAGTTGAAATCAGAGAAGATTCGCGATACTCATTAAGTAGAAATGTATATATCACAATGATGCGTCAGCATGCACTTACTGTTACATTTTGAGATTCACCCAATCGTGTTGCATTACGCTCATCATATGTCGTGAACCAAATTTCTGTATAAAAAGCTGATGGAACAACTTTTTGAGTGTAGTATTTTGTGATGAGCTTATTTCGCTTTCACGTTAGCATGACTAATCGTAAAATTTGTTTTCCTGAATCACAGCACAGCGTTCACGATCTAATGACTGACTATCAGTCCTTATCCACAAGAGTATTGCCATCTTGGATACATCACCACGACCTACCTCAGCTTGGACCAACTTCTCCACCATTAACAGTTTTCCCATACTGCAGTCACTGGTTATCTTGGAACCAGCTTCCTGGTTAGTATCCATTTTAACTATTCCAGTATTATTATTATTGTTATTTAACCAAGTCTATGTATACTTTTCGTTATGGATCCAGCTACTTGTATGCGATTATTTACTTCAAAGAAGACAGACCAATGTTTTTATGAAACATATAGTATATTCTATACGTAAAATAACTTTCGTTATGCTTATAAGTCGTTTTTGTTTGTCGATTTACTATATCAAGTAGTTAATTACCATTTTAATTATTCCAGTATGCTTATACAGCTAAATATAACCGCTAGATATAATAAGTAACGTTAGCAAGCCTATGAAAGCTCTGAGGTTCGAATACCCCCCCCCCCCCTCCACAAGTAAAATAATACATTAAATTATAAGATAAATATAGAAAAGTAAAACAACCTTTCAATTGTTTATTTATTATTGCGGTTAAGATATATGGGGTCGGAGCCTCTAGTTACTGACTAGTAAGATTACCGTGTCGGTCCTTTTTAAAAGTGGGTCTGAACTAGCCGAGACTGGGTGTCATCAGATAAGCCCCTGGGCATTAAAAGTATTTAATTGCATGATTTAGGACTGAATTAGTCAGGCAAATCTCTATGCTCTGGGATGTACGCTCTACCTATATATATATATGGATATATTCAGAATCAAGTGTTGGTGAGTTACCTTCTCATCCACAGAGTATTGATTATTATTCATTTCACGGAAACGGGTATAATAAATAAAATGTTCCAACGAGGCAATATTTTATCCACTTCGTTTTTCATTGGCATGCTACTATGATATAATCGTTCTATTCCATCTTAACATAACACAACGTACGGACAATAGATGACAATTTAGTCCTTTAAAAACCGCGAATATAGAAAAAGCGCTCATGAATAAGTTAAACTGATTATATATATACATACACAAATCTACCACTAAAAACCTAGTTATTAACAGATGCTTGTCACTACACATTTGCTGACCCCTATTTTTGGCTGGGTGGTGGTGGTCCTTCAAGGCTGTTCTTGCACACCCACTCTTAAAAAAGTAAACACTTAAACCCACCCATTATTTATTATCTTTAAGGAAATCGCGGATTCCTCCATTAAACTCTTTTCAAGTACTGGCCTCCTATCTTGCTGATAGTAACTTGCGTCATAATTTAATTCCCCTGTTATGAACAATAAAACTGTCACAAAGCAAGCCTAACCTGTCTTTTCCAAGTCTTAAACGTGTATCCTCTCACACAAGCTAATTCTCTTGTTAGGGACAATAAAGCCCCCAGTGGCACAGCGGTATGTCTGCGGACTTACAACGCTAGAATCCGGGTTTCGGTACCCGTGGTGGTCAGAGCACAGATAGCACATTGTGTGGCTTTGTGCTTAATTACAAACAGGAACAATAAAACTGTCTAAAAGTAAGCCTAATCAGTCTTTTCCAAGTCTTAAACGTGTATCCTCTCATCGTACTATCTTCAGAACAAAGAAAAAAAAATCAGATGCTTTTACCCCATTGATCCCCTGGATAATCTTGTAAACTTAAATAAGATCGTCTCCTACGAAATAAACGAAAGATAGCTTAACCTATCACTATACGATAACCCTAATATCTTCGGAATAGGCTTAGTAGCCCTCCTTTGAACCTTTTCAAATAAATGAACATCCTTTCTTAGATAAAGAGACCAAAACCGTGTACAGTATTTCAAGTGAGGCCTAAGTACAGAGAGAGATAATTACCTCTTCTTTTTTTTTCTTTTGTGCTTGTAATCAGTACGTCTATAAATACACTTTAAAATTCTATGGGCTTTACTTCTAGGACCAAAGCACTGCTTAAATAGCTTGAGCGGATTATTCACCACAATGATCCTTTTCTCCGGTCATATTGTTGTGTGGCCCCCATCTACATTAAATGTGTGATCTAGATTATAATAATAATCCAAATGCGTTATCTTGCACTTTTTGTAATTAAATATCATTTGCCAAATATTTATCATTATTTGTTTGTAATTAAGCACAAAGCTACACAGTGGGCTATCTGTGCTCTGCCCACCACGGGTATCGAAACCCGGATTCTAGCTTTATCATTATCTAACGTTACTAATTTATAAAATTATGCCCTAACAATATCAATAATGTAAATAATTAAAAAACAAAGGCCCAATCATTGGTCAGTGAGGCACTGAACTAGTAATGAGGGACCAATTTATCTAAACTTCATTAATTAATAATAACTTTTACTTTCTCCCATCTAATTACTTAGGTATTATACGTTACTATTACTATTTCTATCTGCTTAACTCTATAGTACAAGTCAGAAAAGCCCCCAGTGACTCAACTTGGCTAACTAATGTCTGTGTCCGCAAAACTCCTCCCACAGTTCAAGACTTGGATGAAACTTTTCACTATTTTTTTCAACATTATAAGGGGAAGTTCCTAACAAAGTTTTATTATAATTTGGTGTCTTATAAAAACGTTTATTTAGTGCAAGTGTAAACTTTTTTTTTAAGGAAATAAATCAATAACAGTTTTATATCGCACCAAAATGAAAAACGTTATAAAATAGGCCCTCGCTAAAATTAAAGAAATAATAGGACCTTATTTTATAACATTTTTCCTAAATCTCTTTCTTATTGGAGGAATGGTACTTCTTTCCTTATTAATAATGTTCATTAATTTTGTACATATATTATTGTCAACGAAATTAGTTTTTGATAAAACTCCTAGAATTGTGGTAAAGTGAGTTTAATGCAAAATTTCAAAGTGAATTTTTCTAATGGAGAATCATTGTGATATTTCAGAACAAAAGTGCCTTTTTCTGCTGGGGAATTCAAGCATACGCTATGACTTGAATTGCTCTGTTACCGAATGAATCGCAAGTCCTTTGTACAGAGTTCGTTGCATACAAATTTGCAGGGATTTTGTAGCAACTCGATCTTCGTAAGTTATACAGGTACTTTTTTTTACTTCAATATGAGTATAAAGTGATGAAAAACATCGAAAATCACGATACCAAAAATTGCCAAGCGAAAAAGTGACTTATCATGGAGAAAGTCTGAGTCTTTGAGAAAGAAAATGAAACGTCAGGATGTAAATTACAGAAAGAAAGTGAAACGTCACGATGTAAATTACAGAAAGAAAGAGATAGGCTTGCCCACCAAGATAACAACGGATAAACACGTAGATTCGTTTGTTTGTTTGTAATTAAGCTACACAATAGGCTATCTGTGCTCTGCCCATCACGGGTATCGAAACCCGGATTCTAGCGTTGTAAGTCCGCAGACATACCGCTGTGCCACTGGGGCTAACATGTAGAACTTTATTGTGGAAACGGGTGGCTTAATGAATTATCAAAATGTCAACAGATTTTTTTTTCATCAACGACGACATTTTTCGGGTTTGTGTTCACTGCGGGGAACGGATCCCCCCCCCCCGAGACCTAGCTGTTTTCTGAGCGCCCCTGATTATCTTTCAGGCCTCTTTCTAATTCACAATCGATTCCGTATTATCATAGACTTTATATGTAAGAATGGCCAAGGTGCTCAATAGGCATAATACAAATATGTACGCTAAAAAATCAACAATGACAGAAAGTTTTATTTTAAAAGATGATTGCCACTCACTTTCATTTGTTTCTCTACCCAACAAATCCCAAAACAATGCAAAAAAACCATCGCTAAGATACCAAATCAAAAAAGTGACCAATCCACCAAACTATTCATCTTTCTTGTTGTTTCAGTCTAGATAACTCTACAACTACTTTATCACTAATGTCAGCTTAAACCTAAATCTACTCTATGTGTTTCTGGGCAATGCACGATGTCATTTACTTAGTCATAGTAACTCGTAGTAATTTTAAAAAAAATCATAATTCTGGTGTAAACGATGTTATCATTACCCCTTGAAGGTAGCTTTTTTACAGAAATCTGGTGTTTCTTTTAAAAGCTTAAGCACAAAGTAAGACAGGAATTATTAGTCAATAATAGATGAACATTAGATGACTGTAACATATAGAATGCACAAAGCTTTGTATATTATACAACTGACGTCTTTAGGGAGCCAACCTCTATGTTAGGTATGAAGTGAAGGAGTAAAAAAAAACAAAAAAAACTCATAATATTAAATTTTATTACACACATTCACTAATTTTCAGTCAGGTGAAGAAACGTGAAAAAACAAGTAATAACAAACATTTTGTAAATGTAAAATGATGTAGGGATGGAAGTGTCAAAAAGAATGCAAACAAGAATACAGTGAGGATACAGCTATACGTAGATCACCCGTACATGACTTTTAATATAAAAATATAATGTTACACTGTAAAATGTATACTTGACTTTAATATTACTGCAGTTGGACATTATATATTCCCGACTGTTGATATGCAGCTTGTTTATAATAATATCATGGTTATGTCAGGGTAAGCATCAATGTATTGTAACTAAGAGCCTAGGAGAACACCGACCACTGGTGTAGATAGTCTCCACTTATTTTCAAAACTTCATTATTTCAACATTTTTTTTCACCAAGTTCTCATCATAGCACGTGCACTTTTACGTGTATGTGTGTGTGTGTCCATATATATATATATATCATCTACAAATATATAACAACAGAAACTAACTCCCATAACATAATCCTGGCGAAGCCTCTGACTAATATCGTTGTTATTATTATTATTATTCAGACCTGTGCTCGATCTCTTACTCGGCAGCACTCTCCCGGAAACAGCGGAGAAGCAGAACTGCTTTCACCCATCAACAGTTAGGAACTCTCGAGAGAACGTTTTCCAAAACTCAGTACCCGGATGTGGTGACACGAGAGCGCTTAGCTTTATGCACCAATCTCCCCGAGGCTCGAATACAAGTAAGTAGCTAAGTAAACACTTATAGTATACAACATTTCTTTATTATTATTATTCATTTCCTTCATTGTTCGATTAATGTTGAATGTTGTTGCCCGTTAGCGAAATAATTTGGTAAAATAATATTGCAATTCTATGACAGTACGTTTTTTAACTTATCCTATGTTAAATTGCTAAATGTTTCTAGCGTTTAATCTCCCATATGACAAAGCGTGTTGGACTGTTTTGTTCTACACTTATTTTAAAGCGCCACAGTGGCATCGTTGTAAAGAAAGAAGAAATGTGTTAAGTAAGTCAGTCGAACATCCTTATGTAGTCAACCTTTCTTTTCACTTTTTATTATATTTTCAGATTATACCATGCGGTTTACCTTCTCATCTCGTTTAATTATCGCCTTTTTTTTTAAAAAAAAAGAAAGTGTTATTTGAACTTTTTTTTTCTCTATCCTTACAGAAATTTAAGATCATAATATTTATGCCTGTTCTTTTTTCAAATACCCACATTCAATTTCTGTCTTTTTTTCAGTGGTTTCTAGGTTTTTTTTTATTGTTGTTAATAAAAATGCATCTCTTATATGTTGCTCGAACACATTTCAACTACTTGGAGTTATCATAGATCTTACCATTGTATGACATTTATACTTACATCGTAAGTCACCAATAACATTGTGGTGACGAATAAACTAAACAAAGCTTTTTTATTATTATTTTTTAAATACTGCCACTAAAGATGGACCAGTGAACTGCTGTTTTTCACATGAACTTTCCATTAGGTTCTTTTTTTTAGTAAATAAATTTGACTATTCAATGTTAATTTTTTCTCTGGATGACTTAGGTTTGGTTCAAAAATCGGCGCGCCAAATACCGCAAACAACTTAAAGCAAATACTCAAGACATCTCTGAATCTGACAAAGGAAGCAGTGACACAAACCGAGTAGAAAGGGAAACTTCGGGTTCTGTCGGCCAAGAAGCGGAGATTAGCGAAGCTTCCGATTATTCTACGTATGCTTTGCGCACCGCGAAAGCTTCTAGTTTGGATAACGCAAATGAAAAATTAAAAGGTGAGTTCATTTTACAGACTTATTGACCTGATGTAAAGATTCTATATTCTCTTTTTTTTATAAACTACAGAATATCCCGAATCTAACTCTCTCCAATCAGAAATACCGTTGTAATTTCCTTTCGTCTTTTCTTTACTGGTTCCTTTCAGCAAAGCTAAAACGGTTGATAATAGAAACACAGTTTTCTTGAGATCCAGCTGGTAGTGAAAATATATCACAGGCCTTTTACAATAACACTTTCAGTCTTCTATCACTTATACTTTTATTGTTGTTGTTTTTGTTAGGCCGTTAATTTTGGCGTAAAGCCCGTAAAACAAAAAACAAATGTACAATGTATTTTATAGGACCTTCAAGTGAGCGAGAGTTAGTTGAGCGTTTGATAACAATTGAAAACTGGAGTATTATTTTAATAGTATTGTTTTTTACTACTATCATGTTTTTATATGTTTTTGCTTAATGGCAGCGAAAGTCAGTGACGGAAAAATGGATGCTTTGCATCAAAGTGATGAGGAAGAAACACCTACCAGCAAAGAAGAGAAAAATGTCACACCTGAAGAGACCAAAGAAAAGAATAAGAAAAAATACAGTGGTAAAGTTCTGCCTTTCATTTCTCTATATCTATCTCATAACTTTTTATAAATGATAACTAAACTTATCATTGGATAATTTTGATGTATTTCATACTGTGGGAGGGTAATGCAGAACTACCTCATTTTGAAATAACCATAAATGACCTCTTTTTTTTCTGTAGTGTCGCCATGTTGTTTTTGTTTTAAATTGCTTCTACTAGTTTCTTATAAATTTACACAATTATTTTGTAATTATATCAGTGTAAAGTTGTTTCACTTATTCACAGGTGAACAATGAAAAATTGAAATAAACTGTGTATAGAAATGGGGAATGCAATTTAACTTGAAGAGGCTTATTACAAAATAAAGCAGTAAGTGTCCTCATGTTCAAACTATAGGGTGCACAAATGCCACGTCTCATGTGAATTGAATACTGTAAATAAATAGAACGAACTACTGGGAGAATGAGTTCACCCTTGTTTACAATGTTGTAAGCTATATATTTAGTCTTGTAATTTGTAAGCTAGAGGGCGTAGAACGTCTAGAAAGTCTTAAGGATGTGACTCTAGTTGAAAGCTAGAGACTCTAATCACTCAGTATGTTAGCTATCGCGGTTACTTTGTAGAAGTTGTTTTGTTTTGCGTAAGTTAATATTATTTAAAATGCAGGCCAACGCACTATACGGCAGTGTTCAAGTTTGTAGAAACGTTAAAAAGGTTTGTTTGTTTGTTGGTTTTTGAATTTCGCGCAAAGCTACACGAGGGCTATCTGAGCTATCCGTCCCTAATTTAGCAGTGTAACACTAGAGGGAAGGCAGCTAGTCATCAGCACTCTTGGGCTACTCTTTTACCAAAGAATAGTGGGATTGACCGTCACATTATAACGCCCCCACGGCTGAAAAGGCAAGCATGGTTGGTGTGACGGGGATTCGAACCCGCGACCTTCAGATTGCGAGACGAGTGCCCTAACCACCTGGCCATGCCGGGCCCGTTAAAAAGGAAATAAAGTAAATTATTATCGTTACGTAGACTGGACACTGAATTAATTTCCCTAGATAACTTAAAAGAACCTACCAACGAAAAAATTATGTTACGACATCAGAAATTGTTCTAGTAAAAGAGTCATATTATCTCAAATTTCTAAAAAAAAATAAAACAAAAACAAAAAAAACTCATGAATGTTTCCTAATATATTTAAGTGGGTAAAGTTTTCAGGCCTATTATTGAACATTTGTCCACGACTACAGGTTTTTCTGTTTCTAGCAAAACGAATACCAGGTTTACTTAGCGTTTTTTTTTATTTGTTTTTTCTAAATACCCCCTCTTAAGCTTGTTAAGGGATCTAAATGCATCGCAGCTGGCCAATTCACGTGATGTAGCCATGTAGAAAATCTCAAAATTTCCTTAAATCAGTCAAGCGATCGAAGTGCTTAAACGTAATACAAGCTCCACACGATGGGCAACTAATCCCAGAGCGCCCACGATAACAGCTTTACTTGCGCCACTCAGTATAACCTCCAATCATTTGATTGGACTGCATGTTGATTGTAATACATTAATTGAAATTTTAGAGCATTTCATGGGTATTCGGGGTATTGATTAATTTATGTTTAGATAGATTATTTGTTAGTTTCCAAGACATTTTATTATATCCGTAGTGGTGGTTACATTCACAAGGTTTCAATGAACGTATGTTCATACAATCTTGGGTAAACTATCAAAGGCTTACTGTTAAATTGAATATTTTTCTATATTTAATACATAAAAGTTAAAATGTAAGTTACTTACCTCCCCCCTTCTCCCCTCGAAAAAAACAAAACAATATCATCATTGTTTAACTTTTTGTTAATACAGACGTAAGTATAAATGGCACGACAGGGTAAAGGGGCATCAAAATATCAACTGTCAGAATTTTATTAAATAATAATATATTAAAGTTCCGCCCTAAAGTTTCACCAGAAGAGTCCCCTGGTGGGTCAACGGTAAATTTACGGAGTTACAAAAGTAAAATTCAGGGTTAGATTCTCCGCGATGACAGATAAGGGAATCGCACCTCGGATTTTAGCAGATTTCGTTCTGTAACTTACGCCTACTGTAAAGGTCAGTGGCTGTTTCTAGATATTAATTTGGTATAGAGGAAGAGCATTATAAATAATAGTAAAACTGTTTCAATAAACGCTGGAATATCAAAACAACTATACAAAAAAAAATTTCTTCAGATATTTCCGTTGATGCAGGCAACGATGAACTTTCGGATTTACAGTCCGAGCACACTAACTCCGAAGTATATCATAGTATCGTGCGCCACTGAGGTAGCTTCTGTCTTATATATTTAAATTTCTTTTATTGAACTCATAATGCTAACGGCTAACATAATAATTTTCATTGCGTGAGAAAATACTAAACTTTACGGTTAACGAATTTTCGAAATGTTAAGCACAAAGCCACACAATGGGCTATCTATGCTGTGCCCAATACGAGTATCGAAAGCCGGTTTTTAGCGTTATAAGCCACTGGGGAAGGGGGTTCCAAATGTCAACTGTATTTTTTAAAGAAAACTTTGTATTCTACTTGTTACACACTGCGGCACATGGGCTGAATCTCGTAAATGATAGCTTACGATTATAACCCGGAACCCCACCCGAACAAACAAGTTTAAAGAAATTTAAAATTTGTGTAAAAAATACAGAATGTGAGAGGTAGTAATTTTTTCTGAGAAAATGAAAATTATAATAGTTTGTTATTTCACTGTTTACAATATTAGATTAGTAATATGTTTAAAATAAATAATGTGTAAGATAGGCTAATCATGTTTACTGATTCGCACCAGTTTCGTCTGCTTGACTTCACTTAGCAACTTTCCCGGTCACATACAAATAGGCGAACAACAATGTCAAAATGTATCCGAAATTATTGGAATTGCACGAAAAAAACTACGTAGATAAACAAGCGCTGATGAATAGAATAAATTGATTGCATTTGTTTTTTACCAATAAAAACCTAGTTAAGAACAGATGACTGACACCACAAATCTGCTGACCCCCTCCCCCTTTTCTTGGCTAAGGTGTGGTATGGTGGAGGGCTGGTCCTCGGCGATCCCCCTGGATCTGCCGGTGCACACCTAGCGAATGTAATTAATTGTGTTAACAGGTATAATATGCTGATTTAATCCATTTTTAAAACTTTTTCTAAAATGAAAATTCAGTTGTTCCAATAAAAAAATCAAAATCAAAACTTGTTTTAAAACATCGGTGGCCAACCCTTGAAATGTGCATCTTAAAAGGAGATTTGAAAAAACCATATCAGATAAGAAACTTTAAAAATGGGGTAGGTAAAATTAACTCGAAATTTTAAATATCACTGTACATAAAGAAAAAACAGCTTTAAACAAAACATTTTGCCTCGATTCTTACGGAGGGAATCACTAACAATGCCACTTTTAAACTCCTGAACAAAACTAATTCTTATTGTAGAATTATAAACGGACTATCGGAGCCTTCATCAGGCAACAGCGCATTGTTGCCTGATGGACTCTCGAGTAAGAGGGTTGAAAGCTCGCAATGAAAGTATTTTAACGTAGAGAATAGTCTGTTTATAATTCTATATATATTAATTTACCTACGTTATGGGTCTTAAACAACAATTAATTCTTATTGCCAAACTTTTATCTGATAAATTTCTTAAAGGCAATAGTCGTTTAATTTACTGTGTATTGTATATATGGAACAATCCAAAATTTTCACAAATCCTATAAAAATTAGGTATATTTCAAGCTTTAAAAATTCAATTTTACACGTATTTATCTTACTTAAGATTATTTTGCATATTTTATTGGATGCTATCAAGAAAGAATAGAAACGGACTGGAATGACTGGAATTGTTAAAATTCAAATGCAATTATTATTCCTGCTACTACCATTAAGCAACTTTTTTATATACAGTAGTTATAATTCTAACTTGTAATAAAAACTGAGTTAGCTATATAGATCGAAACTAAAAAAGTAACATATAAATTAATTCATAATGCTAGTTCTATATAACAAATCACTTAGAAGTAGTTGATACCATACATCCAATAGCTAAAATCCACAATGATGAGAATACATTAAATCATCATTTGGGTATTATTAGCCCTTATCTCATTACGTCAGGATGTGTTAATTCAAAAGATAAACTAAATCAAACAGATGAATTCACCACTTCCGCAAAAATTGTCCGAAAATGCATTTCATTCGTCAAAAATTAGAATTTTTTAAAGCTTGAATTTCTAACAACCGTTTTCAAAATAAACTTTGTAAACAACAAAATGGATATTGAAAGTGTTTCAGTTTTAGTAAAAATTCAGATAACCTCCATCTAGATTTTCATGATTAAATTTTTATGCGTAAATGGAAATATCTTGAACAGTGCAAACAAACATCTAGATATATACATCGTCTTATAATTATCAATAATCATATTTTTCCTCAAAATTTTCTTTGATTCACTTACTTGATACCATTAAAACTCTTTACACATTTAACCAAACTAAGTACTTATTATACATTTTGTTTTATATTTCAGATACTGAGCTAAATGCTGTGAAAATATCTTCTGTTATGTGCCCAACTCCAGCAAGTCTTCTACTGTCTTCTCAAACAGCAGCTTCTAGCTATCAAGGTCCGAGCTGCCCTCTGTCGACAAGATTTCCATCGGTATGGGAACTCCCATCTCCATCTTGGCCTAGCAGCTTTACTGGTTTACATACATCAAGAAACTCAGTAAGCTGTGGAGCCACTTGGCCGTATACCTTACCAGTTAGATTACAGCCAGCACCTGCTTCTGGTACTTGTTGGTCAAGCTTTGGCAACAATTCATCGTCCAACTTTGATTCAACTGTTTTTAGATTATCTACTCATAGTCGTAACTCATCAAGTTAATCTTCTCCAGATGTGAAATCTTTACATGCATATTACCCCATAGACGCTTATACTTAGAATGAAATTTCAATACTGAATTCAGTGTATAGAATAAAATGATGGCATATACCTTGGCACCTCTAGTGAAATTACAACATTATAGTTGTTTAAAAACAGTCATCCCGATATAAACATTGTATTTAGAATGAAATTGCAGTGTGTAATCTGAGGCAGAAATGTCAACATTCAACATGGAGTCTACACGAACTATACACAGCAAGGATTTTGAAATTCAAAATGAAGACACAAAAACGAATAAACGACTGAAGCAGAGTCTTGGTAAGAGGTCCTCAAGTTGAATTTAACATACAATATTGAGAAGCAACGTGGATCCCAACACTTATATATATAGATTTAGTATTTACCAATAACTCATACTTCATTTGCGTACAAGCGTTTTGAAATTGTTCACTGTAACAAGCAAAGAAATAAATACTGTTTTAATTAGAAAATAACAGTCTAAATCTTTCAATGCTTTGTCGAGACGTACAGTTATGACTGGGCGTGATCTAATGCTGATCTAATGGTTGAATATGAGTCTGAAGGCTCTATTTATTACCGCGTAAACGCGCTCCGCACTTTGGGGCTTTGGTATGCTTAACAGTACAAGTTTTTCTGTGATATTAAATTAATACATTATAGTTTTAAGATGCACTAGAATGTTTTTAAATTTCGTTCATACTGTAGCATCAATTTATTTATTCATTTTTGATTTTATACTTCTAAAGGGGTTTCTGCCTTGCTTTCGAGTTGTTCAGGAACGACCTTTAGGCACACTCACGTTTGTCTGCGTCAGGATATGAGCCAGAGCGTGGATCACCAACCAACTCTACCAAGTCAACCAATTATTTAAAAGTAACCAATAAATAAAACCCCCAAAAATGATGTGAAAAAGCAAACAACAATTAAAAAAAAACAATTACAACGATTCAAACTGATCTTTATATATAATAAAAGTATGATAATAAAAACAAAGTTAAGAAGTAACAAAATAAGATATGATAAACATCCTAACCAATACTGTTAAAGAAAGTAACAATAGAGAAATGATATAAAAGGACTTATGAATAATCATGAGTATATGAACAAACAAACGAAATTTATCGTTAGAACTAAATTTAGAAACCTAATAATCATGTCTCTAAAAGTTAAAGCTTATGTTATTATTTATTGAATAAGTTTTATTGGTATATTGTGTGATTGTTGTTAAATACAAATTTACACAATGGGCTATCTGTGCTGTGCCTATCACGAGTATCGAAACCCGGTTTTTAGCGATATGAGCTCCCAGACTTACTATTGTGGCACTGGCGTGCTTAAGTTGTATAAATTAACTAAACATTATTATTATAGTTCAATAATACCAGAGCAACTATAAATGATCCAGAAGACTGTGGCTGTCTGTTTACACCTACATACTCCTATAGTCGGTTGGATACAAGGCTTAATCGGAAGAATACGAATGGAAGCATGTCTACCTTATAGTACAAAATAAGATGCAAAACAATTGTTAAAAAGGCATTTAAATATTTATATGTATAACTGTGACGTACACAAATTTTAATTAAGTAGTGTGTAGATCAGTGGTCGACAACCTATGACCCATGGCAATGATTTGGCTGACCCACCAAAAGTTGGCTTCACCGTTGCAACCCGTGAGGCTCAGTTCAAATTCCTCGGCTATGTGAGAAGAACAAAGATATTAAATGAAAGGAGAAAAAAGAGTCACGGCTACAGAAAATTTTAAAATCAGTTTTAGGGAAAAATATTCAAGCTGGTCGAACTATTAATTTTGTTTGTTGTATCTAAATAAATATATACATTTAAACACGTGTACCAGTATTAAAACTTATATGACTATCACTGATTCAACCCAATGCTAAATTAAAAAAATAATAATAATTGACCCACTGTCAAAAAACCCATCGTAAATGAAAAATTTATCATTGCCAGAACGTTGATTTTACAGAATGATGTTTGGCTGGTCAATACGGTAATCACACTGTTATGAGAAACGGGACCGCTAAAGATATTAGTTCCTCTGTTAATCTGCAAGTAAATATGACGACTTGTGAAACTTGATATGTATTTGTGGTCCAAAAGGAGGTTCATTTGCATTTCCGTGGACTCCCTTCCCCCAAACGACGTCCCTGTTAATTATCATAAGAAACATTTCCACGAAATTAACAAGCGTGCTACTAGTAACTCCAGGGGCTCAGCGGTTATATTAATTAAAATTATTAATTAAAAATGAATAAATAATAATGATAAATTATACAATGTCTTAAATAGTTTTGGTTTAAACGCCGAAAGCTGACGAAGCATTGGAAACCAACAGGCCTAACATTTGTGAAAAAAATCACGCACACTGTAAATGCTTCGGTTTCCAAACCAGAAATTTCAAATGCTTCGCCAGCTTTCAGCGCTTGAATATTAACTTTTAAAGTCTTACACTCCATGTATAACAGCGTTTCAGAATTTTTTTTTATCTCAAATTGGTTATCCCAACTGAAGAATTCTACTATTGACAAAATATCTCTTGTGTAGTGCCTTGTGGGAAACAAAATATAGATCTAACTTCTGAAATGTTATTTTTACACAGTTCTGATATATAGCCTCAAACGGACAAATTAAGAGGATGTGGAGGAAAACAGCATCTGATTTTTATCCCAGATGTTAGGCCTAATTTTTTGTAGTACTGGATAACTAAGCTCCTCCCGACTTCTTACCACCACTTGTCTCTAGGTGAATGTCAATGTCATTTCCGGTTCTTTGTTTAAAGATATATATAAACCCTGTATATATACCTGATGATGCCCTTACTGGCGAAACCATGGTCGTGAATAAATGATGTATTTCTGAAACGTACAATTGTCTTGTTTTCCTCATTTTTGTGACTAATGTAGGTTTACGAGTCATGTTTCTCAGGTGTACATGTCTCTGCGTGTGTTTATTTCATCACATCTGTCTAAATTAAAATGACACTTAGCTTCTTTAACAAATTAGCCTTGCATCATTTGTAAATGGTGTACTTAAAAGTAATATGAGAATCCAAAATGGTGTTGTTTAAAACTGTTTAAGGTTAGCTGATGCGTAATTGTATATTCTTGGTTTAGCAAGTGCTTTTTTCATTAACTGCCATTATGTTATAATTTAGCGCATTTGATCGCAGCTGTTTTTCTTAAGTTTAAAAAAATTAGGTTGTACAAGATGAAGAAACAAGCTGCTTTGTATATTTCTGTTGACCAGTGATTTGTGATGGACAACACAAACAAGGACAACAATAACAAAAATGATATTGATTTACATGGCAACAGTAAGGAAATAAATGAGTGGACAATAAGAAAGAGAATAATGCTGAAGAAGTTTAGATAACTATTTCTTTTGTTTGCTTTTTTTTCTAACTCGTTGTTATTGTTTGTTATTAAGCACAAAGCTACACAAAAAGCTATCTGTGCTTTGCCCAACACGAGTATCGAAAGCCGGTTTCTAGCTGTATAAGCTGTATTAGTTCGCAGACATACCGTTGTGCCACGGGGGGGGGG